TTAAAGGTTCTCATTACCCTCTATCATTTTCCTAGCAATGTGTAGGTAATTGTTGTGTCTTTGAAAGTTGGGTCCTCTGCATTATCACTCTATCCTTCACATTAGTTTTTAGCTATATTGTTAAAATTTGGGAAATTTTTTTTATACTTGATAAACCCCTTTAAATTTCCCAGCATAAATCTACGGGAAGATGCTGATACCATTGATGTGGTCCTGTGACCCACAGTTTTAAGGTTAATGCTGCTTGTTCATTAAATCCTATGATACTTTTTCTGTGATCGAAAAGTAATGGTTAATTTTGGTTTAATGGACTTTGTTCATTTTTTGGACATTATCGGCCCCAGATTTTGTGTATTGTATCCAGAATTATTTAAAATTGGGTTGGTTTTAAAACAGTTTTATTCTAAGGGGATTGTTCCAAGATTCTACAGAATGTATTATATTCATAGTATTTTTTAGAAGCCAATGAACAATGGGTAACAACATCCCCTGATTGAGGAAGCGTGGGGATCAACAAGACCTGTGACCCTCAAAAATGCTTTGTCATTATCCGCTTATTAAGAAAGACTTGGAAGTTTTAAAAAATGGCAATTTTTAAAAGTATTACCAGTCATCAAGAGAAGGTAAGTTGTATTATCTGTTCGTAAAATATAAAAGTAGCATGCATGCTGAGTGTGCACAAAAAACCCCAGGGTGGATGAGTTGAAAGCAACTGTCATTCAGTATGAGCGTTATTCGACCCCCCACCTTGTGTTCTTTTGATTGTTACGCTTGGTTGTGATTATTGCATACATACAGTGGCAGCTTGTCCAAGGAGGCAGAGTCCCCCGATGTCACTGCCAGAGTATAAAATTCATAACCCTTACCTAAAATAATTTTCAACTGACAAATATATTAAGGAAGAATTTTTGTATGTTGTTTTCAAAGACTTAAAGCGAATTTTTTTTTTTTTTTGGTTGAAAGAGATAATGATTAAAAATTTGAAGCTTTGATGGGTACAAAAGTAAGGTTTAAGGGGCTATGAGGCACCATGGTATATGCCCCTACTATCTGTTTTCTCGTGCTCTCATTCTACTTGATTAATTATTACCTGCTTATGTGGTATAAATCATCCATACATCAGCTTTCCACCTTTGTTTTGTGCTTTCCTACTTTTGATCTTTCTCATAACACTTTCAATAATTTTGGCATACACTTTATCCACTATAATCAACAAACTTATTCCCACGAGGTCCATGGTTTGCTCCCCGGTACAGGTGGAAACATTGGGGCATGTTTCCTTAAGACACATGCTGTCCCTGAACCACCTAACAATAAATAGGTACCTAGGTGTGAGCTGACTGGTGTGGGTCACATCCTGGAGACAAAAATTAACCTAATTTTCCTGAAATGCTCTGCATAACAAGGGGCTTTCTATATAGTATGTCATAGATGTCAGCTAGGTCTGTATACATTATGCATGTACTCATAGAAATTATTTTTATTATTATTATTATTCATAGACAGAACAAGTATTCATGCTTTGCCAGACTTTAAATACTTTTTTTTCTTATACAGTAGGGCCCCACTTATATGGCAGGTTAGGTTCCAGGCTAGCGCAGGAAAGCAGACATTGCCGGAAAGCGGAGCCCCATTTGTTTCCACTTATAAATGTCAGATAATAAGTTTACACAAACATATATTAACCCTTTCAGGGTCACCAGGCCCTCTCCGAGACTTGTTCTCGGGGTCGCCAAATTTAAAAAAAAAAAATTATTTTTTCTCATGAAAAGATAGAGAATCTTTTCCCAATCATAATTACACCAAAAGTATGAAATTTGATGGAAAACTTATGGAATTACGCTCTCGCGAAGTTAGTGGTCTCAACGATGTTTACGCATCGGCGATTTTGCCCACTTTGAGCCCTATTTTTGGCCAATTCCAGTGTACTAGTCAACAAAAATCATAACTATTTCGCTAGAACTCCATTTTTTTCTATCGAATGAGTACAAGAAACCACCCATTTACTGATTTTAACTATCTAATAAAGTGGTCAGAATTTAGCAATTTTGACAATTTCACGCAAATTTCCAAAGATGCCAATTTCCGAATAGGGTCCAGAATAAACAAGAAAGACATTCTTGGCACTAAAATAACATTTCCTTTGTTCATTAGTCACGTCCCCACGCCCCTCTTACATTCTTTTGCTTTCCACTTTGAATTTTTATTATCACAAAAAGTAGAAGATTTACTGTTATGCAGACTACTGCATTAGTGTAGAAATGGTATAAATAATATCAGCGCACTTGTGAAAGAATATTAGACTCACCAGTTGACTTGTATTGGACGCGTAGCATGATTTGTTTACTTTTGAACTTTGGTAAAAATCGAACATTTCTGTTACTTTGAGCTCAATTTCAAGGTACTTTTTATTGTAAAACCAGTTAAAATCATCTCATTTTCTGTAGTATGTCTTCCATTCTATAAAATGGCCTGGTGGCTAAAGCTCCCGCTTCACACACGGAGGGCCCGGGTTCGATTCCCGGCGGGTGGAAACATTTCGACACGTTTCCTTACACCTGTTGTCCTGTTCACCTAGCAGCAAATAGGTACCTGGGTGTTAGTCGACTGGTGTGGGTCGCATCCTGGGGGACAAGATTAAGGACCCCAATGGAAATAAGTTACAGTCCTCGATGACGCACTGACTTTCTTGGGTTATCCTGGGTGTCTAACCCTCCGGGGTTAAAAATCCGAACGAAATCTCTCTCTCTTACGAAAGTACAGTGCAAAGTCTCTGTTTTAATCCAAAAACATGGTCAAAGTTTTTTTTTTCTCATTATGTACTGTGTGCTGCAGGATTTTTTTTATACTGCGCACACTGACCACATAGACCCATTCTTTCATATGTAGGCCTACCAGCTTTCTCTCACTAGATTTGAGGGCGCTAGAATTTAGGCGTACTAGTACGTCAAAAACCCTGGTGCCTTAGCTGTACTAGTACGTCCGAAACCCTGAAAGGGTTAAGTTGGCAATAGAACTAGGCATTAAAAACAATAAAAAGTAAAGTACACACACAGTACACTCATTACTTACCTCAAAATATTTGTAGTCTTAATGTAGGGTGAGAAGTGAGTAGTGTTTATTGCAAGAAGTCAGGTGTGGTAGGTATGGTAGCCATCCAGCCTCCCCCCACCCACCCCACACATAATATATGTACTACAGCATTTAAAACTCCCTAGAGCGATAAAATGCATATAGTGTATGCTTATTACTTACCTTAAAATATTTGTAGTCTTAACCCTTAAACTGTCCAAACGTAGATCTACGTTTTTTCAACATTTGAAAGTATGTAAAAAAATGTAGACTTTTTTTTTTTTTTTTTTACATTTGAAAATGTGTAAAAAAAACTTCGATCTACATTTTTTTTTTGTTATACTGTTTTTGAAAATATGTAAAAAAAACGTAGATCTACTTTTGGAGCACTACGCATGTGAACGTAGATCTGTTTGGACAGTTTAAGGGTTATGGTCTTAATATAAGGTGCAAGGTGAATAGTATTTATTAGTAGGAAGTCAGGTGTGGTAGGTATGGTAGCCCATCTGGCCAACCCACCCACACAATATACTAGGCATTTGAAGTGACCTAGAGAGATAAAATGCATATACAGTACACTCATTACTTAAAATATTTGTAGTCTTGACGTAGGGTGAGGTGAGTAAATGAGATAAAAACGAATAAACAAGAGAGAGAGAGAACCAGTAAATGAGAGAGGACAGGTAGCTGCAGAGTTCATTTCCATATTTGTAAAGTTTATATCATAATACAAACATTTTACATTGTGTAAAATTTTTCTCCACATTGGTATAGTAGAATAAATAAAGAGGAACATTCCCATTCTCATGTAACACACCATTTTTAGAAGAAATAATGCCCTGACTGAAGGCATACGAAAGGAATAATTTTTTACAGTTCCCCCAGTAATACTATTGTGTACACATTTTCTTTGGTGCTGGACTATAGAAAATGTTATTCCTTATGACACTCCGACAACACGAATGGAAAAACATCTCATATTTATGTTAATTTATTCTACTGTGGGTGTATTTATCATGTTTGTTACATAGTGTGTTTATTATATAATTTTGAAAAAAATATCATAGATGGATTAAGCAAAATGTCTATATTAACATTTTATATGACATTTAATGCACCTCAGAGTAATTATTATTGTGTTGTTGTTGTTGTTATCATTATTAATATGGCATCTTCAAGACTAATAAGACACTCTTAGTGATTTTAATGTGTGCCTGCAGGCCAGCACAGTTTACAAGTTTATTTAGGTACAGGTACACATAAGTAGAATTATCAAAGTACTATATATAAAATATGAAATAACTTAAAAACACTTGAAATTTTGGAAAGTTTCCGAACATAATGGAGAGATGCAGAGCTCACGGAGAATGTAAACAAACCGGGTGGGGCACGGTGACTGTATTAGAAAGACAGGGGGGAGCCATATAGCAAGTTTTGGTCATAATTTGAAATGTCTGTACGCATTAGCAAAACAGCGTAAAGCTGGGCCCAACTGTATACATGAATTAAATAAATGCCAATTGTACCAATACTGTTTCCACACCTGTTTTCAACAAGTTTAAATCTCATCCATTTCCACTACTTCCCCTCACACACACATACTTTTAACTAAATTACTGCCTCACCTGTTTCTCTACTCTCACTTTCATCTATTACTCCATGCCTCATGCATCCAGTCTCTCCTGCCCTTTTATCAACACATTTAACAACTTTATTAAAATAGTCTTTTTTTCCACTACCTCCCCTTTGACTGCTTTTATAAGTAATTTAATTATTATAGTTTGGATAATTTCTGAAGAATGTACCATGATATAGAATGCACATACCTCTGTTGTCTTTAATCAACCTATCCAGCATCTAATAGTCATTTTAACATTTGTAATTTGCACTCTATTAAGGATTATTAAATGATACAACTGTGTGTGTGTGTTTCATATTTTATGTATCCTTTCCACCGAGAGCCACTTAACTATTCTTTGTTTTTGTTTTAAATCAGGGGTACCTTTTACCAGATCATCAACCACAAGCTGTACAGACAAAGAGATTGCATGTTTCCCAGTCGATGTAAGGGCATTGAACATTTTATCTTAAAGGTATATATAGTTTTTCTTGGAATTTTCATTCCATGGAAAGTATCCTTGTAAATATTTGTGTGTGTGGTGTGTATATTGATGGGAAATTTATGAGAATTTCTGGAATTAAGATAAATATACATGCAAGTAAAACTTCTTTATTTGTTTATATGTTTATCTGTATCTCAAAAGCAAGACTTAATTTTATTCCATTCATTAAAAAGAGTTCCCTCTTGCAGATTATTGATAAGTTACCTGACATGGAGATGGTAATTAACACAAGAGATGTGCCACAGGTTCACAAGCGTTTTGGTGAAAAGATGCCAATTTTTTCTTTTAGTAAGGTAATTTTATTTAAATAATTTAATGATCTTATTGGAAGTATATGAGTAGAATTTATCTTTTTTTGAAGGAGATAAATTGTTGCATATATATATTCGGTAGGCACTTGCCTTTTATTTAAAAAAATTCACAGCTCTGAAGCCACGTAATTTTTGTAATATCATGTATTAAACATGGCTTTACTGACATTTTAAATGGGAGCTTTTTTTTTTTTTTTATAGGATTTTTTCTTCAAATTCTTGATTTGTTGCTAGTGTTAATTTATTTTTTATAGACTAAAGAATACCTGGACATCACTTATCCAGCCTGGACTTTCTGGGAAGGTGGACCAGCAATTGGCTTGTACCCTACTGGGCTTGGCAGATGGGATTTACTGCGCAACTCCATCATGGCTGTAGCCCAAGAATGGCCCTGGGAAATTAAAAAACCTCTGGCATTTTTCAGGTACAGTACTAAATTTCTTTTAATTTGAATTTTTTGAAATGCCATATAAAGGATTTATAATATGGGATTTTTTTCATTTTTATTTAACCCTTTGAGGGTCGACAGGCCCTCTCCGAAACTCGTTCTCAGGGTCGGCCAAATTTCAAAAAAAAAAAAAATTATTTTTTCTTATGAAAAAATAGAGTTTTTTTTTCTAAACATTATAGGATAAACAAAAAAAATTTACCATCAATACTTACGGAGATATGGATGCATGAAGTTTGCAGAAAATGAGCCGCGTATGGCAACAGCGGCGACTGCCGCTCACCCGGTAAACTTTAGTTTACTTGTATTTGAAGGTTTGTTGTTTTTTTCACTATTTTATTTTTTCACATAACTTATGTGGCCTGTGAGACCAAAGTAAGGTGCAATGTACATATATACATCTCGTTGTATACAACACAATAAGCACACAAACATAATTATCAATATATTGTTTACAAAACTTGTTTACAAAACAAACAATACAAAACATTGTTTATTATTATTGTTCTATAATTATATACCAATTACAGTCACTGAACATATTCCTATTAGTTCTGCAGCTTGTGGAACTCTGAAACATGGTGTCATACACAATGGTGTTTTATCTTTCTCCCTCATTCTATCTCTTTCAATCTGTCTCTCTCTTTCTATCTGTCTATCTCTGTCTCACAGGTACACATAAATACAAGTATACATGGTATAAATTACCTAGGATAACCCAAGAAACCCAGACAAAGTGCTATACTCTGCTTGAAGATGTGAGTAAAAGTGATGACGCAGTCTTGTGGCTCTCTGAGACAGAGAGCTAGATGGATAGACAGGGAGCTTGACAGACAGGCAAATAGACAGACAGAAATGTTAGTATACCAGCAAAAACAAAGGGAGGGCGATGTTCATCTCATCTTTTGGCATCAGCTCTACCCTCATTTACCCTCATCAAACGTCAGCACTTATCAGATGTTATCTCCCCTTATCTTGTTACTGTCATGGGTGAACATTTATTATTACATATATTATTATTACCTATTATTATTATGTATTATTATTATGTATTATTATTATTATTATTATTATTATTATGTATTATTATTATTATGTATTATTATTATGTATTATTGTTATCATTACGTATTCTTTTCTTCCTCCTCCTCCTCCTCCTCCTCCTCCTCCTCCTCCTCCTCCTCCTCCTCCTCTTCTTCCTCCTCCTCCTCCTCCTCCTCTTCTTCTTCCTCCTCCTCCTCCTCCTCCTCCTCCTCCTCCTCCTCCTCCTCCTCCTCTGCCTCCTCCTCCTCTTGCCTCCTCCTCCTCTTGCCTCCTCCTCCTCTTGCCTCCTCCTCCTCTGCCTCCTCCTCCTCCTCCTCCTCCATTCTTGGAACAAGTTTGAAGATCTTGTAGTTCATAATCACTATCACTATCATCACCAAATGCTCACATCTGAGTCTGGGATTTTGGGAAATAGGAGTTTCCTCTTTGATTCTGGTACAACTGAACGACGGCCCAGCACCAGAGGTGGAAGGCTGTGGGTTGTCTGGGTTTTCCTCACTATTACCCATATTATGGTCATTAGTTTCGGTCAAAACCTCACCAGAACCTTGAAACTCATCTTCACTGTCACTCCATACTGTATTGAACTGTCACTGGGGAACAAAAGTGTCCCAATTCGCACGAGGAGTGAGGAACTTCTTACCACAGGGCACGGTGGAAATTGTGTACTATGATGGCATTCCCACAATGCACCACTGGGTCCCAGATTTTTTTCCTACTGCGCACACCCACCACACAGACCCATTCTCTCACATCTAGGCTTATCAGCCTTTTCCTGTGAGATTTGAGGCCGCTAGAATTTATGCGTACTAGTACGACAAAAACCCCTACGCGTAAGACGTACTAGTACGACGAAAACCCTCAAAGGGTTAAACCAAGAAACTTAACTTATACAGTGGACCCCACAAATTCCAGGTTCCGAATTTGTGGCTTCGGTAATTCGCGGATTTTTCCTTGGAACCTAACTAATAATTGTTCACGAAAATCCCTGCCAATTTGCAGAATTTTTTGGCTTTTTCTTGGCAGTATATAATTTTTTGTGTATTTTAACGCTAAATGTTATGAAGAATATAATTTAATAATTTTGTAACATGAATACAGTGGACCCCTGGTTAACGATGTTTTTTAACTCCAGAAGTATGTTCAGGTGCCAGTACTGACCGAATTTGTTCCCATAAGGAATATTGTGAAGTAGATTAGTCCATTTCAGACCCCCAAACATACACATACAAACGCACTTACATAAATACACTTACATAATTGGTCGCATTCGGAGGTGATTGTTATGCGGGGGTCCACTGTATTAATGTAAATTTAGCAAACTTTACATATAAAATATAATACTGTATAAATGTAAAAATGTTGTGGAGGGAGTAGTAGGTAAATTTGGGGGCCAGGGTGCCTTTAATTGAGCTATGCATAGAAAGAGGTTTGGTAATAAGTAATACATATTTTATGAAAAAGGATAAATAAGTATACAGTGGAACCTCAAATATCGAACTTTCTTTGTTCCAGATGGCTGTTCGAGTGCCGTTACTGAATGAATTTATTCCCATCAGGAATAATGTAAATTAGATTAGTTCATTTCAGACCCTCAAAAATACACTTATAAAAGCACATATAAAAATACACTCACATAATTGGTTGAGTTGGGAGCAGTTCGATATTTGAGGTTCCACTGTACAAGGTATGATATAGCACATAATGAAAGTAGGTTGTTAGATAATGTATTGGTGGATAAAAGGTTGATGAGTAGGCTTCAGGATGTACATGTTTATAGAGGGGGCAATGGATATATTGGATCATTATTTAGTTGTAGCTGCAGTTAGAGTAAGAGGTAGATGGGACAAAAGGAAAATTGCAACAGCAAGTAAGAGAGAGGTGAAAGTGTATAAACTAAGGGAGGAGGAAGTTAGGGTGAGATATAAACAACTATTGGCAGAAAGGTGGGCTAATGCAAGTATGAGTAATGGGGGGGAGGGGGGCTTGACGAGGGTTGGGATAGTTTTAAAAATGGAGTATTAGAATGTGGGGCTGAAGTTTGTGGCTATAGGAGGGTGGGTGCAGGAGGAAAGAGGAGTGATTGATGGAATGATGAAGTAAAGGGTGTGATAAAAGAGAAAAAGGTAGCTTATGAGAGGTTTTTACAAAACAGAAGTGGTGTAAGAAGAGCAGAGTACATGTATATGGAGAGTAAAAGAAAGGTGAAGAGTAGTGAGAGAGTGCAAAAGGAGAGCAGATGAAAGAGTGGGAGAGGCACTGGCAAGAAATTTTGCTGAAAATAAGAAAAAACTTTAGAGTGAGATAAACAAGTTAAGAAAGCCAATGGAACAAATGGATTTGTCAGTTAAAAACAGAGTAGGGGAGTTAGTAGATGGGGAGCTGGAGGTATTGGGTAGATGGTAGGAATATTTTGAGGAACTTTTAAATATTGATGATGAAAGGGAGGCGGCAATTTCATGCACTGGTCAGGGAGGTATAACATCTTTTAGGAGTGAAGAAGAGCAGGACGTGAGTGTGGGGGAGGTGCGTGAGGCATTACGTAGAATGAAATGGGGTAAAGCAGCAGGAACTGATGGGATCATGACAGAAATGTTAAAAGCAGGGGGGGATAGTGTGTTGGAGTGGTTGGTATTTTTGTTTAATAAATGTATGAAAGAGGGGAAGGTACGTAGGGATTGGCGGACAGTGTGTATAGTTCCTTTATATAAAGGGAAGGGGGACAAAAGAGATTGTAAAAATTATGAGGGAATAAGTTTGAGGAATTGTTAAATGTTGATGAAGATAGGGAGGCTGTGATTTCATGTATAGTGGACCCCCGATTAACGATATTTTTTCATTCCAGAAGTATGTTCAGGTGCCAGTACTGACCGAATGTGTTCCCATAAGGAATATTGTGAAGTAGATTAGTCCATTTCAGACCCCCACACATACACGTACAAACGCACTTATATAAATACACTTACATAATTGGTCGCATTGGGAGGTGATCGTTAAGCAGGGGTCCACTGTATAGGGCAAGGAGGAATAATAACATCTTCCAGGAGTGAGGAAGAGCCAGTTGTCAGTGTGGGGGAAGTTCATGAGGCAGTGGGCAGGATGAAAGGGGGTAAGGCAGCTGGGATTGATGGGATAAAGATAGAAATGTTACAAGCAGGTGGCGATATAGTTTTGGAGTGGTTGGTGCTATTATTTAATAAATGTATGGGCTATTTCGCCCACTTTGAGCCCTATTTTTGGCCAATTCCAGTGTACTAGTCGACAAAAATCATATCTATTTCACTAGAACTCCATTTTTTCTATCGAATGAGTACAAGAAACCACCCATTTAACGATATCAACTGTCCAATAAAGTAGTCAGAAATTGGCAATTTTGGCAATTTCACACAAATTTCAGAAGATGCCAATTTCCAAATAGGGTCCAGAATAAACAAGACAGACATTCCTGGCACTAAAATAACATTTCCTCTGTTCATTAGTCATGTCCCCACGCCCCTGTTACATCTCATTTGCTTTCCACTTTGAATTTTTATTCTTGCAAAAAATAGATGATTTACTGTTATGCAGACTACTGCATTAGTGTAGAAATGGTATAAATAATATCAGCGCACTTGTGAAAGAATATTAGACTCGCCAGTTGACATATATTGGACACTTGGCATGATTTGTTTACTTTTGAACTTTGGTAAAAATTGAACATTTCTGCTACTTTGAGCTCAATTTCAAGGTACTTTTCATTATGAAGCCAATCAAAATCATCACAATTTCTGTAATATATCTCCCATTCTATAAAATGAGACCAGGAAAACTAAAATTTATTATTATTATTATTTCACACTGGCCGATTCCCACCCAGGCAGGGTGGCCCGAAAAAGAAAAACGTTCACTCACAATCACTCCATCACTGCTAGCAAGAAGGGTGCTTTACTCTA